AAAAAAAAGTTACCAACTAGTTATTAAAAGCTTGTATTGTCTATATATGAGCAGCGCCATGACAAAAAAAACATAGTGCGTTTGCGACCAGCATAGATCCAGACCAGCCTGCGCATCAGCGCAGTCTGATCAGGATCCATGATGTTTGCTATCAGTTTCTCTTCTTGTAAAAGGCTTTTTAAAAGCGAAAAATCAAGTTTACTATTTTTGCTTGTCATATCACAAATGACCAAAAATGAAGGCAACTAGTACTGATAAACTGATTGCCTTTCAAGGGACGATGCGGTGGCTTAAATCTACTCTGGTAAATTCAATCATACTGTCGTGATTCCTACACTACTTAATAGGTATGTTAACATCTGTCTTTAAAGTAGAAAGTTTGAAAAATTTAAGATTTTAATAAAATAAATATGAAACAACATTTGTTGGTCAAATAGCAGAAACAGCAAAACTTTAAGTTTGACTTCCATCTTCATTATTTATATTTCTTACTGAACAGTTTACCCTTAAGAGAAGGTGAGCCAAAAATTATATTCTTGTTTTGATAGTAAATATAGTGCTTGTAAGGGGAAGAAACACGTTTAATCAAAGAAATGTTTTCGAAGATAGCAACCTCTTTAGCATACAAAACTTTTATTTTAAACAAAGAAGGAAAACAGAGATATATAAATAAAACATTTAAAGAGTCACACGATTAGAAAATACACTTATTAACTTATTAATATTATATGATATAATTAAAACAGTTGTTTACAAAAGATAACTCATCTACATGTATACATTCTGTTTTAATGAAGTCATTACTTTAATCTATTTATTGTGAATTCATTTCATTTCGTGGGCACGGAATTTTGAAGTTTGGTTTAAAAAAAAGACATTATCGCCGGTTCTTAAATTCGCGGATTGACTTTTTTGCAAATGAAAACAAAAGACGAAATAAAGTTTCGTTGAAAAAGAAATAAAAAATCGTTGAAACTTAAAATCTTGTATAGACTTATCCATTAAAACCAGGTAAATCTGTGTCCCACAAACAATAATGACTTTTTAATAATCACCGTATGGTATCTTTTGAGCTAATCTTTATCAAACAATAACATTCAATAGCATAAATAATAAGTTCATATTAATAAGTGCATACGTACCATATTAATATGCATAAGTTCATAGGGAACATATATATGTTCATAACTTAACAGCAACTTTTACAGATACAGTAAACACACAATATACATTATTAAAAAGATTTTACATTTAATCAATATTTCACAAACCTTTTTCTCTTAACATTTATTCTTATATTAAAAAAATTAACAACAGTACTTGTATATGTATTTTTTTTATTTTCTGGGTTTATTTATAAGATATACAAATATATGTCGGCTATTTTCTAAAATGTGAATATGAATATGCAAAATATATAGGTAAAAAAGAACTCAGTTTCAGCGACTTGTATTGTTTATTTATCGTTATTTACTAACCTTGAGTTTCAATATTCAAAATATTAGCTCATCTATACAAGATTTAGTTAATGCATTATCAAGCAGACGTTCTTAACGTTATAAAAATAGTTTTCAATTTCAAAAGTTTTCTTAAAGTATGTAAATTACTCATTTTTGGCGCATTTAGTATATACGTACAATACTAGCATATTTTTTTATATTGATCTTTTATTCTCATTTGTACATAGCGAAAATACTTAACTCTATCTACATCTTAAAGGGACTCCACTGAGGTTTAAAAGCCTAAAACATAACATTTGAATTTCTTACATAAATGAGCTAGGGCACTTTAAACAGGAAAATCGTATTGTTATGCTTTTCTGTTAGTGGTCTAAACCTACATCAAATGATACATTTATCTTGAAAGAAATATTTTCAGTCCCAACATGTCAAAAAATCTCAGTGGAGTCCCTTTAATTCAAAACATACAGCTAAAGCCTTTACTCGTTAAGTCTATTTCTTACTATATTCATTCACAATCTTTATTATTAAATCAATTAAAATCATTACTATACATGTATATTACGTCTTTTTTCAATTAAAAAGAATAATAACGTTTTCATACTGTGCTGGTCATGAAAATAGTTATCTTTAATACATTTTTACCAATAACATACACATTCTCACATAAGTATATTTCAAACATTATCTAAAATATATCTTCTAAGATAGATTAATCTTTCTTTATAAGATAAGTATACAAATTAACATGACTTTTACATATATACCATCTCAAAAACGAGGCATTATAAAGCACTATAATGGCATTCGCAATCTGTATATGTAAAAACGAAAACATCAATCATTAAATAGTAATTTAAAAGCATAACAGTTTTTTTGAACAATGCTGAATAAACTTGCATTTAATTGATAAATAACATTAGTAAGCAAGATACTGCAAAAGGTAAAAGGAACACTAATCAAATATATGCTTAAAACGACCAACATCAACAGTTGGGAAAACTGAAATACTTTTATCTTAAATTATTTCAAGGTTGGTTTTTCTCTTCATTCTATACATTTCTTACTTCATACATAAGTCATAAATGAAGTAAGAATTCACCATTGGTATTTCTTTTTAACATTTAAAAATTGCGATTCTGACTATTTTCTTTTAAGTAAAAGGGTAGTGATGAGATATTTATGCTTTCGTTTTATATTTTCACACCAATGATTCATTATTTCTCCTTTACTTTGAAAAAAGGTACTAATTCAGAAAAACAAGAAATGTCAATATAAAATGATGCAACACTTTAACTTCTTATACACACATATTCTTAACATAGTAATTAAATTTACGTTTAAAACGCACAACAATTAGCCTTCTATGTATGTCTATTACTTAGAGTGTTTAAATATGAATACATCTAACTTGCGTTATAATGTTCAATTTTGCGAAAAACACAAGGAAATGAAAGTTATCTGGTAGATATACATTGTTTGCTTTACAGTATAGTAATACAACAATAGTTGGTAGAAGATCAGATAATGCCACTGAAGAAGAATCGTTGTCTCCTTGGCATAGGGTGTAAAGACAGTTTTAATGAAATCTAGATGTTCAGAATATAAACAAAATGAAAGTCTTTTCAATCAGTTAATTGATGATTAATCAATTAAAATGCGGGTTAATTTCAACTGAAGATGCACCCCATCGTCGGCCTTAAATAGCAACATCAGCAAAGATGGCCACTAGAGTGTAAGAAATAGCTAATACCATTGCAAGATATACCACTAGGCAAATAACAAGTATCGTTGACATCTCATTAAGAACAGCCAATGCCATTCTCAAACGTGATTTAAAAATGAGAAAGATCTGTGCTTGATGGATTCCCCATTTGCTGGCAGGTGAGCAGAAAAAGGCTCGCAGGCAATACGCAAAATGTTTCTTATACCTGTATCCAAAAAACAATGCACGATATTTTGCAAATAACTTGATGAAACATGGGTTCATTTTAATGAGCCAAAACGAAAACACCTACATAATTTGGGCTACAAAGTCTGGTAAAAGACATTGCGAAAACTACTATCATAATAAGGTGATATATGCCATTTTCTTTACTACTTAGGCATTAAGGGTGCAGGTTGCAAATCTATTAATGCAAATTTTTACAAAAGTTTACGAAAACTAAACAAAACGAAGTCCCACTACATATATGGCCAATGTCACATTGCTGCATGACAGTGCGACATCGAGCAAGTCGTCTATAATGCAAGACTTTCTAAAGCAGAAAAAAGTCATTGTGCTTCCCCCATTCTCCGTATCCTCCTCCTGACCCTGCCCCTTGTGACTTTTTGTTTTCAAAGCTAAAGAAAAAACTTTTCAGGTCGAACATTTGTTCAGCACAAACATTCAGTTCTGCAATATTCCAGTGTCTTTATAGTAAACCTAGAAGGTCTATGAAAATGTTTTCAATTAACGAATCCAACTTTGAATATTGAATAAAACTTTTTATATCTGTTGGAGGTGAATACTTTCAGGTAACAAAAAAACAGTGAAGAATCAAATTCTACATGCTTAAATGCATTCATATTTGAACAGTCTTTGTATTTATAACAAACAAAACAAAAACAAAAAACATAAAATTACATTTGAAATCAAATATAAACTTTTTTCAATTTAATTTTAACTCGAAACGCAAGCTATCATCACTTTAGCCGATCCAGTTAGTAGGCATGAAATAAACGCTGGACCATTAGCATTTGTCTACAAAATCATATCGATTTATATACATATACAAAAACAGCAAGTCCTGTGTCACGTTACTTGTTCAAATTACAAATGATTTTGTGTCTCAAAGTAATAAACAAAAGATATCATATATGTTACATCATTGACATATTATACATTATTCCAAGTTATTGTATAAGATAATAGCGATTTAGATAGAAACATATTAATATGCATAATAACAATAATTATTTCTTGATAATTTTATTTAGTTTACGTAAATAATTTGTAATCTTATTACAAATCGTGCACTTCCTATGTGAAACATTATACTTCTTCTTTAAGATTATGTCGATATCAAAAGAGCCACTATTAGTTTCTTAACGTAAAACTTTTTACAATTCGTGCCTTTTCTGTGTGTAACAGAATACTTATATGCCTGTGCCATCATTAGACTTCGTTTAAAGATAATGTGAAGTATAATTAGAGCTAGTTTAAGTTCCTCAACGCAAAAGGAAACGGAAAATCAAAACCAATTATCCCTTTGAAAAGGGTTACATGAAATGAATTTCCTAGACACTCGAGTAACGACATAATTTTTATGTTTAAAAATATACATAAAAGCATGTAAAAAACTAACTCCCTGCGCATTACATACTTTAAAAAACACAGTCTAGATAGTTTATCTCCGACTATAACAAGAGCCGGTTGAACCGGGTGAACCTCCCCGAATAAATTTTGGACACAGGAAGGTATACCTCATGTAGTGTCAGAGTTATGTCACAGACAAAGTTCAAAGAGTAAAAACAACCCAAATGTTGCGCGCGACACGTCGTCTCAATATTGTGATCATTTCTGTAAAATAGTTGTAAAAGCCGACATGAAATAACGAAGTTATGGGCCGGAAACTATTTTGCTGCAATGTCATGTTGTGACCTTGACCTTCAAGGTAGCGACCAAAATGCTGCGCGCGACACGGTGTCTCAATATGGTGATCATTTCTGTAAAAATAGTTGTAAAATCCGACGTAAAATAACGAAGTTAAAGGCCGGACACGATTTTGCTGCAAGGAATGCTGTGACATTGACCTTCAAGATAGGGACCCAATTGTTGCGCGCGACACGTCATCTCAATATGGTGATCATTTCTGTGAAATAGTTGTAAAATCCGACTTCCAATAACGAAGTTATGGGCCGGACACGAATTCGGGACGTACGTACGGACGGGCTGACTGATGGACGGACGGACGGACAACCCGACGACTATATGCTCCCCCGAATATTAAACATATTATACAACATTCGTTTGTTGAAACTAAAACATAAGTATGACAATGTTTTCACGACTTGCAAGATTAAGTCTACCTTATTACTATATACACGCAGAACGCTTTACTCTTAAAATACTTTCACCATATATACTTTCACCATATAGAGTATTTACTCGTTCAATGTATCTTTATTGTAAAATTTTCAAATTTTATGAAAAATAATTCAAAATGGGTAAAATTAGTTTATCAAACAATTGAGTAATGGACACATCTGGTGCTTCTAATTTGGAAATTGCTTTTTGTGCTTTACTTGCTCAAGTGTGTATTGATGGATAATCTATCGTGTGTACATGCAATACCAAGATATGACTTAACTGTTGTCAAAGACAAATTTCATGTCTTGTATTTATAGACTTGAACACTTTTTGCATTTAAAATCAGCATTAAGAACTACCAAATATGAAATTTTTACACAATTTGTTTAGTAAACAAACTATCGTCATCATCAAAAAATTCTTTAAAGAATAAAAGATATTCTGGGTATGCTTGCGTGTCGTTAAAAACAACAAACATTTCATCGTGGTCGTCGATGACCGAATCGTAGAGGTTGTGAGGTCCGCCAACAGGTTTTGCTGGTGGCTGGCGTAATCCGTGCTCACCAGTTGTATATTCTCCGGTGAGTACTCGACTATAATATATTCTCTTCACATTATTTGCGTCCGGTACAGAGTAAGTATCGTCACATGAGTAATCAGCGTTAACGGCAAAATAGACACCAAATCCAAAAGCCACAGCTAAAAAATAAAATTGTCAGCGTTGTTCATGATGTATATGATATAGATAAATCTGCAAATGCAAATTAAAACAGCATTTTACTTTTCCGACTTTGAAGTTAAGTTATATCATTTTTTTGCCAAATTTACAACGTATGTACTTACTAATTTGTATTATAATTTGAATAAAACTAATGTTAATATTAATTATGTATCCTTTCGCTTTATAATTTGAAAAAAGCTAATGATGATATTAAGAATGTATCCCTTTCGCTCCTTACTTAGAAACCTCCATGACTTCATATTTAAACCTCCATAGTGTTATACTCTAGTTAACCGCGAAACACGTCAAAAAATTTATTGTGCTTAATAAGGGAGACGGAGTCATTACTGTGACGGTTTCAGATTAATTTTCGTCGAAAGTACGTAAGTCAGCATACTCTCAGCTATTCTCTTTAAGTTTCATGGCTGTAGCAGTTGTATGTTTACCTTACTTTCGCACCACGCAATCCCGTCTTCATACAGAAAATGGGACATTCGTTTTATATCATTATGCTACAATAGTTTAAAAGAACATTCACTCACCATTTTGTCCACAAAAGCTGCGATTAAATCCATGAATATTAATACTGTCCACTGCTTCAGCTTTTGTACCATGCCACAACATTCTTTCGTTCTGTGTCTCTGGTTTATTTCTTGCTTCAAGTTGATTCCGTTTACTTTGGTACTGTTCCCAAAGAGTTTTGTTTTGTATTTTCTGAATCTGAAGTAATACATTTGATTAAATTGTCAAGGTTTCTCAAAATTACTCTCATTTAGATCTATGTGCTTTGCATGCGTATAATGATATCATGACATTTTATTTTGAACGTGTTTTACAAAATATGTAATTATTACATGATTAATAAGCACCGACAGTACATTATTTTGTAAGAATTTTCCATTATAACTAAGTGTTTAACTAGAATTTGTGTCGATAGGACACAGATGTCCCCACACTCCACTGATTTTTCACTCCACTGACGTACATCAGAATAATACAAAAGAGGACGGACAAAGAAAATCCTGCAAGACCTTCATTGCCCATAAGTGGTTTGTGCATAAAAACATATCCAAATTTTCCAATGCTGACTTCTAAAATTTTCCAATTATTGAGCTGCAAGAATCTAAAATCTCAATTTTATATCCGAAGGGTTGCATAAAAGAAAATATAAACGAGCAAAACCCCAGATGCACAACTACTTATGCTGACCAACATTCCTGTTAAGTGTCATGAATAAAAATCAAAAACATTTTTTGGGTTATGCAAGACACATGTTAAAAAAGTTGCAAATCTTATTGCAAGTCAAGAATAATAATACAAAATACCGAATAAATGTACAAACTTATACCAAGATGCATAACTTCACAAGCTAACTAACATACCTGTAAAGTGTTATGACTCTAGGATGAATTCACTTTTATTCACGCACAGCAAAAAAATACAATTGCAAATTTTTACTAAGTCAAGGGCAATAACTCTACAAATACTAAATAAATCCACCAGCAAACCCCACAAAAGCACAACTTCACAAGCTGTCGATCAACATTTCCGTTGAGTTAAATGACTTCATGTCAAATACTTTTTGGACTACGAGTAACACAAGTTGAAACTTGCAAATTTCACTACGTCAACGTCAGTGCATAGATCTCTGACCTGTCTGATTAGTGGATGCACTAAGAATATCACCACAACTGGTTTGTTATCAAAGGAACAAATGTCAGTATTTGTGGTAAAAAATCAATTAGTATTCATCAATTCTATCAGTAACAAATAATAACAAGAAATGTCGAATGACACATATGCCTCGCTTTCTAGCCCTTGACTCATATTATTCGTAATTTTGTTAAAGAAACTTGCCATAAATGAGTACATGGAAGTGCTCAGTTATGGAAAATAGAAAACTAGAAACCTACTAGTATTAACAAATTAATGTGTGAAACAAAAAGACCTTGACGTTTGAACTATGAAGACTTACTGATAATACGTTTTCAAGATAATAAGCGGAAACCATTCTGACATTAAGGCCCCTGTGACCTTGACCTTTGAACATGTGACCCCAAAATCAATAGGAGTCATGTATAGTTATGACCAATCACTATGTGAAATATGAAGATTTTATGATTAATAACTTTCAAGATAACAAACAAAAACCATACTAACATTCAACGTCCTTGTGACCCCAAAGCAAAAAAGGGTCATCTACTAGTTATGACCAATCAGTATGTGAAATATGAACACTTCGTGATAAATAGTTTTCAAGATAATAAGCAGATACCATTCTGACATTTAATACAACTATGACCTTGATCTTTGAACTAGTGACCCCAAAATCAATCAATATGTGAAATATGAAGACTTTGGGATAAATAGTTTTCAAGATAATGAGCAGAAACCATTCTGCCATTTATGGTCCCTGTGACTTTGGCATTTGATATAGTGACCCCGAAATCTATAGGGGTCATTCACTAGTTATGACCAATAAGTATGTGAAATATGGACATTGTGATAAAAGGTTTTTAAGATAATTAGCGATAACCATGTGATCTACCGACAGACAGACCGACGGACAGACATACCGACCAACATAAGCAAAACAATATACACAATCTTCTTCGAAGGGGGGGCATTATAAATCCTCCAGCACTTTTAGAGCTACGGGTTATACAACACGCACGCGTATACGCACGCACGGACAATGAAACATCAAGCTGTCCTAGAATGGGAGTATCATACCGGCTTTTGTTGTGCTCATGATTTGCATTCTTATTTTTGTATATCTCCTGTGGACAGAATGTTATGAATATTTCCGCAATTTATTAAAATGTCAACCACTGATTAAATTTAAACCACTAGACTTGACTAAAGATAGCATCGCTAAATTTCAGTATTATATCTTTACAGTAATACAATGTATATGTAAAATTCAGAAACATTTTTACATTTTATCTTGACTGAACAGAGATTGCAATTGAAAGTTAAATACACAAATGATATGGAATAAAGACAGGGAATGTTTAAAATTCATATTACATCAGATGTCCTATTAAGAAACCAGATAACGGCATAGAAAATTAATTGTCAATTTCATGCTCTTCAACGATTTTTTATCAAGTCTAACACGTTAGTATGAAAATGGAAATCTATTGTATAGAAACAGATGTCAATGTCCTTGCATTGTTGTTTAAATTATGCGCATATTGTCGTTCCTTGTAATAAATGACTCTAGCATGTCGGCTTTGGTCGTAATAAAGCCATCATCTATATTCTTACCATGCATAATTACACAATCAGACCATTCAATAAAAAAATTTAAGCAACCTCAAAATAAACTTTGACGTGAAAAGGAAAGCTATACAGCCTATTCCATAAAATCGTTTTAGTATTGTGTTATAAAAATATATAATTTTATACCTTTAAAACTTCGTAGTCTGAAGAGGCAGAATCCAAAAATTTCTGTTTCATATCTATGTACTCTTGAGCATCTTGTTTAAGATCTATTACTCTGAGATTGCCTCCTTGCATATCACCCCAAGTAGGCGGAACATCAAATGAACCTCCTTAAACATATAATTGTATATTATTTATTATCAAACTTGTCATCCCGACTCATGACAGTTCTGCAATATAATACTTTTAAAGCTAGTCTTATCTTTGTCGTTCATTACTTACATTTAACATTATCTTGCAATTATTTTTCTTCACATTCAACCGACCTCACCTTCTGGAAAAGTTATGCTTGCTTATACTAACCTCATTGCTAGCGACTGAAGAGACGACTATGCAGTCCTATGAGAATGAAATGTAAATGAAAACCAAATTGTATAGTTAAAGATTATATACCATGCAAACTTCAAGCGCAGATGATTCGAAAACGTGCTTGATGGACACTTTTTAAAGTTTGAATAAACATGTACAGTTTTCTCTTTGCCTTCATGTCTACATAAACATTTTATTTCAGACCTTATAAAAATAAAACCAATGCACTTTCAGCATTTGCTACATGTGATGTTCCATTGAAATTTATTTCCAGTGTCTAAAACGTCCAAATTAAATCCATTATAATAATCCATCCTAAAAATTACCAATACTCTCGGTTCGAATTTCAGATATATTCATTTACAAAAGTTTATAGTAAATACATGTTTTAGGACTATAAATATGGAAAATGTTTTTGACGAATAAATGTTTTTTTAAGTAACTTTCGTATGCTTATCATTTATGTGTCCGTTTAAAGATAAATTTAACACAGATAAATTGTTGTTTAACCAAACCTTTCACAACATTCCTTCTAAGAACTTTTGCCACAGCCTTTATGTCAGTCTCGGGATATTCTTCCATTGTTTCAAAGTTAATGATGTAATCCCTACCGTCTACACTGTATTTGACAAAAATAATAACGAATTTAATACAAAGGCAATATTCTGAAACACACTGGATAATAGGGTTCATACTTTTCGGACGTTGCTGAGATTGTTCAGTTTTATAGAATTAATCAATTTCTTTTCTATGTACGAGAGTCGGAAGACATTATGATAAATGGCTACCTTTCATATGTTTATACACATTGACATCTACTTACGTCTACTAACCAAAATTTACCTTTTTAGTATCATTTTTATTGCAGTAGGTTACTATCGCTTAACATTCTTGGCTGGCTTGCTGAATGAATGAATGAATCAAAGGACGAACGAACGAACGAATGAAAATTTCCTGGTAGTTTATACCAAAGCATTAAGTAAATTGGAGAAATCAGTTTGTCAAACGTCTAAAACAGACCAGACTGTAAAAGAATAAGAATAAGAAATAAAACTTTAAAAAGAGTTCATTTTCTCTAAATATTTTTAAAGAGGTTCATTTTCTCTAGAAATATGCATATAAAAGGCAAAGGTGAACTGCCTAAAATAGACGTCTTACTTAAATCCCATTTCCTGAGCATTTTGTTTATAACGTTTTTCAATTTTTAGGTTAAGTTCTCTTTCATACGGTTGAACATCTTCTCCCTCTTCTGTTACTTCAATGACATACCATTGAGCAATGTTGGTCATGTAATCCATTTCAATTGCAGCGTTAATAAAACTACATAAATAGAGAGAAGTATTAAATGAATTTAGAACACTTTCTAGCATGACTCGTGATTTTGTCATTGTACATAAAACAAAACTAGTGTAATCTTCAATCTGACTAAAGATCAGATCTACTTTAGTTTTTTAATGCATGTAGATCCAATTACCACCGTTTTTGAATTGCCTTCATTGTAATTTTGGTTTTTCCAAGAAAGATATTTTAGCCATGCAACCAAATTGTCATTTACAGATAGGCATAAGAAGAATTAATCGGAAGTAAAAAAATCTTGTTTTTTGTTGGACAAAACTGTTTGCAGAACAAAGTATTTCAAACAAATAAACTTATAATGATAGACTTTATTTTTCTATGCAACATCCATAAATCATGGATTGTGATAATATTATAGCCTTTTTTACAAAAATTGTTGATGCAACATCAATCTTCAAATCTACTAAAGGTATTGACTTGGAACTTGATGCATGTCTTAAAGGTCATAATTGGAAAAGGATCTGACTGACTGACTTCTTCGTTTAAGTTTAGCATGCAACATCACTCTTCAAAACTTGTAATTTTAACGATTATTAATTCTTGAACATGCGTCTGCGGGATCATTATTCCACTGAAAGTCACTATCAAAGGTTTCTAACTCTTGCATACATTTTTCATACAATAATGGCCCTTTGTTAACTTAGGGAACTAAGTTCTAGATTAAAGTTTTGCATGCAACGTCAATCTTCAAAATTACTAAAGGTATTTGTTTGATTCTTTGTGCTTCTACGAAATATTTGGAAGTTGCCTGAAGCCATTTTCGGAATTATCAAAACAAGTAGAAACATTAAACATCACTTTAGTAAGACATAATGAAAAATAATGAAGCAGATTAAATTTATAAATTTGCAGAATTTTAATATTATCAATAGGTCGTTTATTCAAGTGTACCTATATTTATTTAAAGATCTTCTATAACAAACCTGTAACTGACTATTGACACATTACATAAAGTTAATTCATTAAGAGCACGTTTTATGTAGAACCAGCAATTAAACTTTACTTTAGCAATTTATCTTTTTCTTTATCTTTACAATATACTTCTAAGTTCTATCATTCTCAAACTTAAATCAAAGGCTTGACATGCTTCACATGTTGTCTTTCTAATAGGTGTCTAAATAAATGGTCACTGCTGATGGATATATCCCTATTCAACTCCAACCTGTCTAAATCAAATTATCAGATAATTGCATTACAATAACAACATAATCAAAAAACACATGTTTGTGGTTTAATTTATTGTTATTCAAAAAAAGGTCAAAGTAGGCAGCTACTAAGATTTTGAAGGTATTATAATCCCAAGTATAACCCAAAGTACCGTATAAGTACTTATTTCTGCGGGCTTAATATTCTGCGATTTTTGTTAAAATAAGGGCTTTTAAATTTTTGCGTATCTTATTTCTGCGGTGTCATCATTCTCGCATTGATGTTTTTTTATTTCTGCATTTTAATTTAGTTATTTTTGCAAAATTAACCGAAACAAACAGACCACATTTCAAGATTGGTTGATGTAAAATGTACATTACTTCCGGTAAACATGCAGACAACTTATAATGTGTTTCATGTAATCATCATGTATCGGTATGTTAACGTTTATAAACAAAAATCAACAATGTGCAATAACAACAATTAATTGTTATACTGCATGTAAAATAAACAATGGTAAAATCACACGTACAGCTCGAATTCGCTATTCCTTTCATTATCTGTTTACAATCAATATTGACAAAAGGGTGTCGATAATTCATATATAAAATGATACTATTTATCGCCTATATCTTTAATCACCTAAACAATTACTCAAAATTTTATCTGTTCAGCGTAATAGCGTAGTGGTTGAGTGTTGGTTTCGTCATTGTAGAGACCTTGGTTTGATCCCTGGAAAAGGCATTTCTCTTTTCTTAGATATTTTAGTCACTCGTGAATTTCTTTCACACAATACTTTTTTTACACACATTTGCTTTCAGCAGGTTAAGTTATAAACTTAAATTAAAAACAACAATAAAGTAGTAAATAACAATAGCTCTTGGTTTTGAAATCAGTGTAGGAAAGCAATAAGAAACTTTCATAGAGCGAAATATTTATATAAATTAAGAAAAACTGACGAAAACAAATATAAGTTTATAGAAAAAAGTAAGATAAACAAAAATACTATGCGTTCGTTTAAACATTGATAAATTTGGCAAATCACAAATCAAAGACCCCAGGAAATATTGGAAGTTACTTCGTAATAATAACAGTCAACGCAAAACGGAAGCAAGTATCGATGAAATGTATGAATTGTTAAAAAATGTCAAATGTTCAAATGATGGAACAATTAATGACAATTAATTAAAACACATTTAATCTAGAAAATAATGAGCAATCAGACCAAAACGAATCTATCAATTGTCCTACAACATATGAAGAGATTGATGAGGCAGTAAAAATGTTGAAAAATAATAAAGCACGTGGGTTAGACGAAATAGTTAACGAACAAATACAATGCTATTGTTTAATGAAAGATACGTATTTCAAACGTTTTAATTTAGTATTTGAAAAAAGGTGTTATACCTGAAATGTGGACTATTGAGATAATAAATCCAGTATATAAAAACAAAGGTGATGCTAGTAAACCTGAAAATTATAGACCTATAACACTTCTAAGCTGTTTGGGAAAACTTTTTACCAGTATTATAAATAATAGGCTTACTACGTATGCAGATGAAAATAATATAATAAATAATAGTAAAGCAGGTTTAAGGAAGGGATTTTCAACCACAGACCAACTTTTTGTATTATTTAATCAATTACTTTAATAACAGTAAAAATTAATTATTCTGTGCTTTTATCGATCTCAAACAAGCCTTTGATACAGTCTGGAGAAATGGTCTTTGGCAAAAACTCTTTAATCTTAATATAACAGGAAAATGTTTAAATCTCATTAAAAACATGTACGATAACATTAAATCGTGTGTCAGAGTTAACTTTGAAGTTTCAAATTTTTTCCCAAGCAACATAGGCGTACGTCAAGGAGAGAACTTGTCCCCTCTACTTTTTTCAATGTTTTTGAATTACCTTAGCGATTATTTTGCAAATAGTAATGACACTATGGGAATCACGGTACAAAATGACCAAAACGCAGACAAAATTCGTGATTTTTTAAAGATATTTATATTACTTTACGCTGATGACACTGTTATTTTATCTGAATCGGTATCATGACATTTGTATGAAAATTATTGTAAAACATGGAAACTTACTGTAAATACATCTAAATCTAAAATCGTAGTATTTTCTAAAGGACGACAACAAAACTATAATTTCATCTTGAACAACGAAAGATTAGAGGAAGTTACGGAGTACAAGTATCTAGGAATTTTATTTTGTAAAAGTGGATCATATACTAAAACTAAAAAACATATAGCATAACAAGCTACCAAAGCAATGTATAGTTTAATAAGAAACTAAAATAGACTTTGTTTACCAATTGATATCCAAATAGATCTTTTTAATAAAACAATAAAACCTATTCTTCTTTATGGAGCGGAAATATTGGGATATGGTAATATAGAAGTGATTAAACGAGTCCAATTAAAATTTTTAAAGTATATTTAAAATATGAAAAGATCCACCCCAAATTATATGGTGTACGGAGAAACAGGCTGCCTGTCGCTATCTATTGAAATAAACGAAAGAATAATCATGTATTGGGCTAGATTAAAAATGCACGATGTAAATAATCATCAAAAGAAATTGTCGTCTCTATTATACAATATTACATATACTCTTTCAAAAGACTTAAGTGAAAATAACTTGAGAAAAAAATGTCCTTGGATTGCAAACTTAAGACATAAATTGCGGTTTATGTAATATATGGGATACACAAAACTTTGGAAACGAGAAGTCGTTGAAATTAGCAATTAGACAGAAACTAAAAGATGTTTTTCTAAATGATTGGTATTACGTTATTGAAAACTCTAGCAAAAGTACATTCTACAGAATATTCAAAAAGGAATTTAAATTCGAAAAATACCTTTTATCAACTCCTAAACCTTTTCTTCGTTACATGATAAAATTTCGTACACGTAACCATAGATTACCAATAGAAACTGGATTGGGCCCGAATACCAATCAATCAAAGAACATGTACTTCTTGTAACAATAATAAGGGTGACGAATTTCATTACTTATTTGAATGCCTTTTGCTTAATGATGAAAGAAAGAAATTTATGAAACCCTATTATTACAGATGTGCAAATACATTCAAACTAGAACAACTAATAAATACAGAAAACAAGAGCGAATATTTGAAATTATGTTAATTTGTTAAACCAATAATTTTAAGATAATTAAATTAGTATTCACCTCTTATGCGATTACTTACATTCCAAGAATTACTTTCATTCCAAGACTATTACACGAGTATTTCACAGATTAATCTTTTATTACCCATAGTAAAGTGTTTGTTTGTTATAATATTTGTCTAAATAGTATGACACTTTTTTCATTTAGCTTTTCAGTATGAGTCTAGAAATTTTATTGTAAAGGTTTAAAATGTTATGTCGTACATAATTGTACATCACTTGTCAGTTGTTTGTATTATTATTTCTTTTTCCTTTTTCTTTTTTGTAACTATTATCATCGTTTGTCGATAAATAAAAAGAAAGGTAATATAAAACGAAATTACACCCTTAGAGAGTGTCTAAATTACGTGACTCTCCACGGTTTTTTATAGTAACATATTTACTAGGAAATTTAACAATTTGTGGTTTTGATACATTGTTAATTGAATGTACTGCAGTTCAGCAAATGATATGAACAAATACTCTTTTTACGAATTATTTTACCACTCAAATTATATATACATTGTACATATGTTTAAAGAGCCTCTACTTACATTGTATTTATTACTAACCACATTTATTCATGTTAACATGAAATGAGTGTAATAAAGGAAATTTGACTTGACTTGACTTGAATTT